CGTAGGACGTAAGTAAATGTACGTGTATATAGAAATCTCGTGAGTGAACAATACATCATGTAAAATTATATAAAATGAAATGTCGGACAGACGAGAAAGGGAAGATATGGGAGAGGAGAAAGAAGAATGCTGTCTTCTGGAAAGTGACGCAAACTGTGCGACATTAAACGTAAAGTTCTCCCTGTGCTTAACCAATTAAGCATCACGCCATAAAGTTTTATCCTGGAGAATACATGTAGCATGTATGGTACAAAACACGAATGCATATATGATTTTTATGGGGAAGCTAGAAGGAAAGCTACCACTAGAAGACCTATACGTAGGAGGAAGGATAATATTAAAATGGAATTAAGATATGATGGGAGTGGTGTGGAGTGGATTTATCTGGCTCATGTTAGGGATCAGTGAGCCAGCTCTTGTGAACACGACAATGAACCTTTGGGTTCAAAAGATGTTGGAAACTTCTTGAGTGGCTGAGCGACTGACAGCTTTTCAAGAAGGGCTCAGTTCCGTGAAGTTAATTAGTTATGTGTTATAATTAGGATTTTAGGCAGGAGATTGAAACATGAAAGGATTCTGAACTGAATGGTAGCAGAACCCCCTACCCCTTCCCCGAATTTAATCCGCCCTTAACTTTTGTCAAAGTAATTCCGGTTCGTTACTGTTTTCATCATTATTTGAACTTTATCACAAATTTCGTATGATTTATTGGCGTTTTGGTGACGCGTTGTGAACATGCCTAATGTATTCTTTCCTTGCCCTTAGACCAAGCAACTAATGCTAAAAAAAATGTTGTTTTCCTTTGTAGCGTCTATGTTCTCAGCCGGTAACGTAGGCCAGACCTATTTATCTGACTGTCTGTCTATCCCTGTTGCTCCCACTTGGAGCACAGGAAATCTTTGAAACGCTTAGTTTCCTTTCAGCTTCTTAATCTTAGACAGTCAGTAGGACTCCTTGGGCGGGGGATCAGCCCTTCGCCAGGCCTCTGCCTACACAGGATAACACAAACAATAACCGTAGACAAACGTTCATGCCTTGGGATTCGAATCCACGATCCTAATGTTCGAACCCATGCCTTAGACTGCGCGGCCACTGTAATTGGCTGCCAAAGATTCATTTTCACTTTGGCATGATTTTCTTGGAGATTTTCAACTGTTTATTCAAAATCAAATTTAAAAAGCAGTGGCGATTAAACATGTTTTTTTTTTTGTGTCAGGCAAAAGTTTTTCTGTATGGACGTTGCTTATGCATTACCTTATGCAAATTTTAATTAGCCTAACTAGTTCTATGGATACAACAAATTCAGTCAGAATTTTGTGCAGTCTTTCTATCCTGAGATGTAGGCTTGCCTGTGTACTGTCCTGTGTTTCCGTGGTATTCGCGTTGTATGTTCGTCGTCTCATGCGCTTAAATCGCTTATTGAATCATACTTCAATTAAACCTGTCAAGCCACAGAATTAGCTTTCGTTCATTCAGTCGTGCGTGTTCGTCTCATTCAAACCCCCCCCCCNCCAATGTGCCGAAGAGAAAGTTGTGAATTTTATTTTCATAAAGCACCTCGCTGAGGTGACCCTCAGAAAAGACGTCACAATTCAATGAGCACCCACGGTGTGTATATTGGCAGTTTTCTGTTGGAAACGGAGGATGGTTTTGTATACGAAACTAATGTTAATGAAATACAACCATGGAATTTAATTTTAATTTCTGAAATATTGTATCTAACTTTTACCGTTCGTAATGATTGTTATTAGTAGTCAAGCAGAGCGAGATATTTGTGCTTTCAAGCCCAGACTGGGCAGAAAATTTAATTAGAAAAACAGTGAAGTCATCAGTACTACGCAAGCTGAAATTTTGTAAAAATCTGTTCTGACCCATCACCGCGGTCAGGCGGTTCGCACTCCCGATTTTGAATCTGAATATCGCGTGTTCGAAACTCTGAAATCAGCTGCCATATGTCAAACCATTCGTCTTTTTTTATTGGCTTCTGCAGGACAGTGTTGCGGGGATGACCTGAAGTAAGCCGGGTCTCTTCCTGTTGGCAACTTTTTCAGTTAACCATTCATGTGAACCATAAAAAAAAAAGTTAAAGCTGTCCCTGTAACAAACCGTGGAGGCCCATAGGGTTATTAGACGTCGAGGCTCCCATATTTTCTAGACAGTCGGCTCACAGATGTCAGTGAGGTTGTCAGCCTTACGCGCTTTCCGCCCTTTACTCCCAAGAAGATTCCTTTCATTCATTTCTATTAGAGACCGAATCGACTCCAGGGCCAGAGTGCGGCTGGAAGGTTTAAGTAAATTGAAATATCCAATGACCTCATCCGGAATCGAATCTTCGACCTGCCGGCTTGGAGCATAGTCTTAGAGATTTCATAACCATATTACATAAATATACACACTCAATCACTCACTCACTCATGGAGCTGAGCCCTTCTTGAGATGCCACCAATTCTGCAGCTACTCAAGAACTTCCCAGCATATTATGGAACCCGTAGGTTCATTACCGTGTTCACAAGAGCCCTCTATTGCTCTCTATCCTCAACCAGATCAGTCCAAAGAATAACATCCCATCCTATACCTCTAGGATCCATTTTAATATTGTCCACCCACCTACGCCTTGGTCTTCTCAGTTGTCTCTTTTCTTCTCGCTTTCCCACCAATATCCTATATGCATTCCTCTTCTACTCTAATCGTGCTACATGCTTTGCCCATCCCATCCTCCTTGACTTGATCAATCTAATTATACATGGAGAAGAGTGTTAAACATACTACGGTAGAATGTACAGCTTAATGTAAATCTCATCTCGTTTTGATCTCATTTTCATGATTTAAAGGACTGAATAATTGGGATAACTGAATTGATTGAAATTAAGAACTACACAGAGAGCGTGACTGTGTTCATTCAGAGGAAAGTGGCTGTATGAAGAAGGGAAGGGTCTCTTTGTGTCGGCTGTGTTCAAGTTTCGGTGTATTTCAGTGGCTTGGATAAGAGTAGAACTGTCGTACATAATCGCTAGGGTTTTAGTATTATTTCTACAGAGGGTAATTAAAACACAAGAGACTGCCGCTGGAACGGTTTCTCTTCACTTTGAGCGAGGTGCTCGCTGAGACAGAGAGGAACTGATGTAAAACGTAAATATCATCGGCTCAGGTTGGGGATGGAGGAGATAGCTAGACAGCGAATGTATTGAAGATGCGGTCATGAGCAGCCGACAAGGAGTGGTCCTCCAGCGTAGGACTTGAATGGGATGTTGGAACCAATCACCGTAAGAAATATAAGGGGCGGATTTCTTCGGGATTACCTAACAAGGAAGTGGGTGTCACATTTCGAACTTCAAATATCATGAGTCGCTGTAAGGCTTATTGAAGAGTCTGAATGGGAGAGACAAGAAATGTATAAGAAATTTTAATTGGGAAATATGATGGGAAGAGGCCACTTTGGGAAACTTAGACCGAAATGAAAGGGTGATATTAAACTGAATCTTAGGTAATTGGATTTTAGGATGTGGCATGGAGTTATCTCTCTCGGAAACTGTCTAATGGGGAGCTGCTCTGAACTCGACAGTGAAGATTCGAGTTCTGTAAAAGGAAAAAAAAAATTACTGACTTGCTGCGCGTCTGCTAGCTTGTTAGAAAGGGCTCTGCTGTATCAAAATTCGTTAAACAAATGATATCTAGGACAGTGAATAGTTGTAAACATCAGATTTGGAAAGTAGTTATGTTTTTCCGTCATTTGTTTCGCTATGATATCCCCTAGTTTTTCGGACTCTCTTCAGATTGTGCTGTCAAATTTCTCTAAAAATAGCCTTTATTCAAATATCCTCTTTTAAGAGACCATATTCACGTAGCACTGATTGCTTTTCCGGTCATTTTAGTAAAATGGAACCCCCCCCCCTCAGAGATCAACCTATCCGCGACCAGTGACCAGGCCTGTGCTTCGTTAGACCCTTCTCAAAAGACCACGTCACAACGGGACTTCCCGCCCCCTGGGCTCACCATTAACTCTCTCGGCCGCGCAGGGCTTCCCCCCCTCCTCGTTTCCGCATATGTACATGCCTATGTATGGTTCTGTTTAATTACTAACACTTGACTGAAGTTACCTATTGCATCTGCTGTTGGTTCAAAATAGCATTAAGGGCAATAAATTCCTGCATTGCAGTTGTTGCGTAATGCATATGTATGGTGTTTACTGTACTACCGAAATTCTCACCCGTTCTCCCCCAGCCATCAACCCCCTATTCAGAGACCACCCCCTATAAAAGGCCACTTACGCACGGAAGGTCTACGGTTTCCTGGAGAAGTTTCATTGCAACTGGTAGCCATGTTGGTAGGCTCATTAGTCAAGTAAAATATGTTTCAGTGTGGGGAGGTTTCATAGCTTGGAGTAGTTAATAGATAAACATCATGTATTGTGGATGCATTTACAGTAATAATTTGAATATTTCATCAACATACAAGTCAAATAATATGATAAAAATGAATTGTTATATGAAATTTATTCCTATTTATTACATAGCATTATTTGATATTAATTTACTCTCAAATATTATAACTTAAGAGTTTTATCTTTAACATATGTTGGAGTAATAACATGGGGGTCACGCGGTAGCGTAGTTGGTTAGGCACTATGCTACAAACCGGAAGGTCGTGGGTTCGATTCTCGATGAGGTCATTGGATTTTTTTAATTGACCTAATACTACCGCACTATGACCCTGGGGTCGACTCATCCTCTAACAGAAATGAGTACCAGGAATCTTCGTGGGGGTAACGGGAGGCCGGCGCGTAAGGCTGACAACTTCACCGCCATCTGTGAGCCGACTTTCTAGAAAATTTGGGAGCCTCGACGTCTCACAACTCTATACGCCTCCACGGTCTGTTACAGGGATAGCTTTGGAGTGATTACATGTATCATGTTCGTCTTTGCTGACAGCATTTCTGTAACGATTCTCAAGTTTTCAGAAGGCAGCAAATGTTGCTTACAGTTATTCTGTCTTTGTTGCAGTCATGGGGAGGACCTCATTGTCACGCCGTTTGCTCAGATCTTGGCCAGTTTGCGAAGCGTCCGAAACAATTTCCTCAGTCTCACAAATGTACCTACAGCCAAGTAAGTACCGATTCTTCAGATATTCCTTAGTAAGCTATTTTTTATGTTGCAGAGGGTTCCAGAAATGGAGCTTAGAAATCCTAGACCCAGTGATTACATTTGTTTGTCTTCACGTATTATTTAATCCTCTTAAAACTTACTGGGCATGTACTGTCTTCGCTCGCTTGGAAACCGGGATCGTGGGTTCGAATCCCACTCAGGGTATGGTTGTTTAATTTGTGTGTGTGCGTTGTTCTGTGTTCGTGTACAGGTAGAGGCCTTGCGACGAGCTGATCACCCGCCCAAGGAGTCCTACCGAATGTGTAAGATCTAGAAAAACCGAAGTGAACGGAGAAGTTCATGGAGGTAGGCCTAGGCACACTGTGGCTGTAGTGCCAAGGGGGAAAAGAAACTTACTGACTACTAAATTGTTGCTGGTTCCTAGTCGCACGAGACCCATGGCCGTGTTATACAACTTTACAACATTTTTCTGCCGCACACGCACCACTGCAATGGCCGCAAAATAGTAAAATGACAGGAGTTCTAGTCGTGAGATAAAAACTAAAAACCAAACAGTGACGATAGACAAGTGAACAGTGCAGTGGTCTCCCCGAATAAAAGAAAATTACCTGATGATGGTCGTGTGCGGCCGAAACATGTTGTAAAGTAAGAAGAAACATGTAAAATTAAATGCATTTTAATAATTTGATGATCACTTTTAGTGTATGTTATACTTTTAGTATTTTAATGACATTTTATAATTATTAACCACATCGTAAAGTATTAAAGTGGTACTTTTAATGAGAAACATATTTTAAATGTCTTTTATATTTAAAATAATATTGTTTCATTATTCACGGGTGCTTTGATAATACGGATAATGCCTCAATACAACGGGATACTGAACTATAATACATATATAAGTTTATGTTCTGTTTATGCGGTAATTATAGCAGTTTTCAAAGGAGGATTTTACCAGAATAAAATTCTTACATTAATTACAGTTTCAATGCGTTCCTTTAGACTTCAGTGTACTGGGTAACAGAGTGAACTGCCATCTAGCGAAAGATTTAATAAAGACGAACTGGGGTCGAAAGCAGGATGTAATATACTTAAATTAAATTTGTAGATCTCCTAAGAAGTGTCAAACAAATTTCCCATTTGCATTGGGACGAAAACTGATATTCTGTATTTTCTTTTGGAGAAATGAATTCCCATCTAGACATACGAGCTTAACACCCAGACTTAATGCCCAAAGGAGTACTATATAAATACATTTTGAATTAATGTAAACGGAGACGGAAGAACAAGGGGCTGGAGTAAGTTGCTAAATCAGTCACTTCGCCATTTTTTCCTCCTCGCAAGACGTTACTACGATGACAAAGCCAAGAATTATTAGATCGGCAGGGCTTTGTATCACGCAAGGGAGACAAGAGACATACGTACAAAGTTGGAAGGAATGACACCCCTTGCATTACCTAGACCTGAATAGAATGTTAAATCAAAATAGAATTTAAATATAATGATAATATATATATACTGGCTCAGAAAATAGACCATTGGTGAGTTCTTGTGAATATGAGAATGAAAGTCGAGTTAGATAAATAACGGGCAGCTTCTTGTGTGGATTTTTAGATTCTGAAGAAAGGCCCTGCTCAACAGAGTTAGTTATTTAGTTAGTTAATTAGTTTGGAAGTAGCAGGGCATGATTTAAGAGGGAGCGACTGGGGCGCTTGCCCCGTGGTTTCTACAAAACAGAAATAGAATCCACAGATTTCATTGAGACTTTTGGTTTTGTAAACTCACGGAATTTGGTTTTTATTTTCAGTTACTACAAGAATTAACAATAGAAAAAAATAATTTTCATGAAGTAAATTTGCTGTTACTGACAGGAGCCTCCACATTTTGATTTTTCCTGGGGCCCCGACAACCGTAAATGTGGTCCCGGCAGAGGAAATACAGTACCGATAGAACTCATATACTATTTTCACAAAACTGTCACAGCTGAGTAAAAATTATGCAAAAAATGTTTATTTCTAGATTTAAAAATCCCATTCAGAAATTTTCTGTTCTAGAAAATAATTTATGATTATTAAAGTATCATATAACTAAGTTCACCTGAGGGTATAATTATTAATCAGTATAGATATATATACTGGACTGGATTTACAGTTGTGGGGCCCCCTGAGCAACCAAAATGTGGAGGCCCCTCTCAGTAATAACACGTTTAGGTTAGTCCAGTGATTGAGGCTAGCTCTTTCTAAGGGACCCAACAGAATAGGTGTTTTCCCTCACCTGAGGACGGAAAGAGATCCAGTTTCCGAAACGTCGTGTTTTTCTTCGTTATCTTAAAACCAGGACGATGGATAAAGTCCGAAAACCCAATATCTCTGTGTGTTATACACCATCGTCAGAATCCTATAGTAACCACGTTTAGGTTATGCCTTTTTTTTTGTTATTCCTTGATTTCAGAGAAGAGAATTTCGCATTAAAATGAGGGAGGCCCCGGAACAGGAGCTTTGGTCGCCTCTCCCACCTCTTAAATCCCGCCCTTCATATTGTCACGTGTATGTGTGTGATTCTAGACGGGGTTCGGATTGGAGATTGAATTTATTGACCACTTTAACACGCTACTAATGACTGCACTTACTTACAGCGCCATCGCTGATCTCCACGCTTTAAAATCACCACAGCACACGCTAAATCTTTTCCAGCTTGCTGTGTCTTCACCAGTCGTTCCCCAGTAACGGCTTCTAACAGTGGGAATTCTTAAACTACACGGACTGAGTCCTCTGTTCACAGTCTCTCCTACGAATCTGTCTGAACTCTCGTTAAAGTCAAAGTCACAATGCTACTGACGTTCAGTCAGTCAGTCAGTCAGTCAGTCAGTCAGTCTTGGTGTCGAGCCCAATCTGGGGCGAGTGACCAGATATTAGTTACTGTTTGACAGTTACTGTCTTATTATGGGGCGCCCTCTCTGACGACAAGACGGGTCTGCCTTTTGTCGGAGTCATTGTCTGCAGTAGTAGGTCATTTGTCATGATGTAAAGGATATTTACATTTTACGTGTTGATAAATGTGTATGAAAATGTCGCAGTAAAATCTTTGGATTTCTGAACTCTTGCTCCAATTGACCTGCATATAATATCTCGGCGCGGACCGCGTAGAAAACATCATTCATTATTGCACTTCAATTCTTTCCGTGGGGACATGTGTGTTTCTGAAGCTGTTATTCAGCAACGGTTGCATATACTTGCTTTTTAATAATCTGTTGTCCAGCAGCGATCGTTGTTTCGTTTTTTTTTTTGAGGTCATTACCCAGTAACGGGTCTACACGCTACAATGTATACCATAGCATAAGCTAGAGTGTCTTAACATTTTCGAAGTGGCTTATCCTTTGTCTCAAGAGTTCAACTTCATGCACCCCTTGTTAACAGCGTTTTATCATTTGGGGTTAGTGTGTATCTTAAATACAATTTCCATCATGCCGTTTAGTTTGCTGGCCAATGTCCAGTCATTATCTGTGTTGTGCCTTTTATGCACATGCCATTGCGGAAGTTGACGTTAATCCTGTTTTAGGTAAACTGTTTTTTATTACACCAAAGTTGCTTTGTTGAGTATGATTTGGAGAGTTGTGGCGAGAGTTGGCATCGATAGCCGGAATAGAAAAGTCAGAATAGACGTTCACTGTTGGGAAACGGCTCGGAAAACACATTTCCGCTGCATCGAATACGCAGGCAACAATCGAGTAACTTCCGTTGCTATGCAGCATCGCTCTAAATATGCCTGCCCAATAGTAAGGAGACTGTGTTTTCTGCGTTATGTCTGCGAAGTGGTTATGAAGGGGAGTTCCGAAACTGGCAGGAGCAGTATAGAATTGAGTCGAAGCTCGAGACGCCATTTGTCAGGATATGAGCTTCGGAGCATAGGAACTGAATTGAGTTGATAGTTGCAGAATAATGGCAAGAAAGGACTTAGACTGCTCGAAGATGTGTGATTTGAGGCGACACAGCGGACTGTTATAAATCCGTTACCAGGATACGACTAATGAATACCGAGAACCCTAGTGTGTGTGCAGCGGTGAACTGTAAATTGTGTAGATCAGCGATAGCGCTATAATTGCCTGCAGTCTAGTTGTATGAATAAGATGTCAATAAATCCAATCATCCAGTTCAGACCCCGTTTTATAAGACACGCACGCAACCCCTAAATCCTGACAATACTGGTATAATGTTCTTACCCGTACTAGCATAACATTCAGTATGCCCAGACTTTAGTCCTACCCTTTGTCTTTCCGGTCCGGAATCCGAAGTGTCTCAGGTTCGACTCCATCCATCGCTGCTAACCTTAAATATAAATTAATAATGCAATTACAGATATAATGAGAACAGAGCACATGAAATTCTGGGCAAAGCCATTCCCGACATGTATATGCAGTATGTAGTGCCCGACATAATTTGGCATAATAAATCAACCTTTTCACAAAAACAAGAGTCATTATGCGGGGGAGAGTCAATGCATAGGTCACAAATGGATGTGAAACGTAAAATATATGATATTCGAACCTTGGAGGAAAAACATGTATTTCTCGACATATCCTCCACCAACATTGAAAACACTTGTCCCATAGCTTTACTAATGCGTCGATACCCGCAGCTTAGAAGTCTTTTGGTTGTTGTCTCAGCCACATCCGCACCTCCGTTTTGACCCCTTCGGGATCGGCGAAACGTTTTCCACACAGTTTTGAACCGCTTTACCCGACAAGACTTCCAACTACAAACATTTCTTTGCATTGAGTCCTGTTACCCACAGAACGCTGCTCCTCGGTAGTACAATCCTCAAGCACGGTCGCCATTTTGACTACTGAAAACAACCTCTGAACTAGTAATGCGAGCCTGCTACACAATGTGCTACTACCTAGTGATACACATAGAAAACAATTACTTCCATTACAGCTGTTTTACTTCCATTTGTATGCTATTTACGGACTCTTCCTCTTAGTTTTCACGAGTTTTTCACGTGTTACACTACCGATGTCATCAGCTTTATCCTCACGTGAGACCCTTAGATATCCAGATCATCTTGAAGATTTCCCGAGATGTTAAATTTTTTTTTCCTTGGCACTACAGCCCCACTGGTCCTAGGCCTACCTCCATGAACTTCTCCGTTCACTTCGATTTTTCTAGATGTAACACATTCGGTAGGACTCCTTGGGCGGGTGATCAGCTCGTCGCAAGGCCTCCACCTGTACACAAACACAGAAAAACGCATACACACAAACTAAACATCCATGCCCTGAGTGGGATTCGAACCCACGATCCCGGTTTCCAAGCTAGCGAAGACAGTTCATGCCTTAGACCGCTCAGCTACCGTAACCGGCCTCTTAACATTTACATTAAAAATTATTTAATTTTGTTGACGATTGTAATCTCAGTAATGAACTCTCTTGTTGAGCTAAAGGCAGGGAATTTCTTGAGCAGCTGAAATACTCAAGAATGAGTCTGACAAGTGTTTTGCGGCTTAGCGGTTTCATACCCCAGTTTCATATTTGGGAGGTTCTCGGTTGAAATTCTGGCCCGGAGGCGGGCTGTACCTGCTAGGGTTCGGCGTGATTTCTCACAGCCTTCCTAAGAAAATGACTAAAAATTTCTCAAATTAGGCCACTATCTTCCAATCCACACAACTTCCAGTTTTTTATTCACTAATCACATGTAATCCCATGATACAGATTTTCGGTAATTACAGAGTATGGGATATTGGAAATTGGAGATAAATTCATAGAAAAGCAGTTGAGATTAATTCACAATTCTGTAGGCATAATCCACTCTGTCAGATAAGTAAGACCCATGAAAACAAGAACTTCGCCCTTCGCTAATTTTCATGCTTTTGAAACTTTCTTATTATCAATGTTAATAATTATTACACCGTCCAGCATTACATTCTTTGGACTGTCCACGGTCATCAAGTGGACGTTTACATTTAATTCTAATTGATAATGAATATAAGTGTAATGTATTATCAGAGTTACTGACAATGTCGTCAAATAAACTACGAACAGATAAACAAATGTGTTAGTATTTGGTAACGTAACTCCACGATAGATGTGCGCAGAATTTTGTGAAGTTATTGGTGTGCTGTGGGTTTGCAAATGCGTTGCTATGCGTGTGGATGACGTCACATGCAACAAAACGGAATGCTGTCATATCGAGTGTAAGTAACTAAATAATTAGCTCTTTCCATGGAAATCTTAAATTACTGGTCCACGTCAGGTATTCATGCTTAATTTTAAGCTTACGTCCTCTATGTTATTAATTTCACTCTCCCCGTTGTTATTTCTAAACAAAAGAATTCATATTATTATCATGTCAGTGATGACACATCGTAAATATCATTCTCAACATTTAAGTATCATATAACTCGGCACAAAGGACATTCTGTTACAGAATACTTTGCCGCCAAACGCTTTATGTCTGCCTCGCCAGCACAAATACAATACAACACAACAAAACACAATAACAAATATGAGAGCATAACATTATTAACGTTATTCATTATGCGATAGAAGAATGTTGTATATTAGTATAGGCCTAAAATTATGCCACCTTCTACACGTAGGCGTAAGGACATTAAATGAACGCATAATGTGAAGACCCTCCTTATTTGTCAGGATGTTTCGTGTGCAAAATTATGGAGGAATTTTGATGAAAATTTTGGTGTAGGAGTCCTTATGTAATTTGTCAAGCAAATTCCATTTATATTGGTCATGTATCCTACAATTTTCATAAACTTATCGATTTTATAAAAAAAGACTTATTGTAAGGGAAATTGTGAAGATCGTAAACTCTATACCTCACTGAGATGTACCAAGGGCATTCCGTATATAATGCCTCCTATTTTTTTTGTGTTAATATGTAACGTCTGAGCTGGATATTGGTGGTGTTGTAGTAAAGGTTGAACCTTCCCGCCAATGTACTGTTAGTTTGGTTGTCGTGCGACAGATAGCGACAGCAGAGCAGTCTACCAAAATGGCGTCTGACATAGAAGTGCGTACGAAACAGAGATGTGTTATTGAATTTCTAGTACAAATTTAATCGAAAACGTTTTTCGATATAGAGAACATTTAACGAAGCACAAAGATTAATCGTTTATAATTCAAGCTGAGTGCTATCTGTAATTTGTGTTTATCGTTGCACCACTAGAAATTTTCTACACTGATAAATATATTTTGTCTACAGTAAATGAGCTTAAAAACCAAATTGTAGGTCTGTACAAAATTGCAAAGGACTCACTTTGAATAATCGGTGTTGGTCCTATCACAAGATAGATTTGAGGCTCCCACAGCGTTGATTATCGTATGGGTCGTGTAGACTGGTATTTTACTATTCAGAGAACTTTTCATCCTGAGAGGCACACGGTAGCGTAGTTGGTTAAGGCACAGTGCTACAAGCCGGAAATTCGCGGGTTCGATTCCAAATGAGTTCATTGCATTTTTCAGTTGACCTAATCATTCCAGCCGCACTATGACCCTGGAGTCGACTCAGTCTCTAACAGAAATGAGTACCAGAATCTTCCTGGGGGGGGGGTAAAGGGCGGCCGGAGCGTAAGGCTAACAAGCTCACCGCTGTCTGTGAGCCGATTGTCTAGAAATTGTGGGAGCCTCGACGTCTCACAACTCTACGGGCCTTCACGGCCTGTTACAGGGATAGCTTTACCTTTTTACATTTTAGTTTTCGTCCTGAGTTTTACGTCCCGAATCTCAGATATTTCAGTCAGAATATTCAGTTGAACTGATAGAAGCGTAATTTATTTGCAGATCGAGAAGATCGTCAGGGGCTGCTGGAGGTACCACACCCCAACCAAGAAATCTGGCTCCAGGGGGTAAGTATAGTATTTCCTCCATTCCTGTTAAGATTTCGGAAGTAACGCTGCTGTGCGCGATGATTCAATTACGTGCATCAGTGGTGTATATACTAGTTGATCAATTTCCGCAACGCTCTCTGTAGGCGTGATGCGTCCCCGTTTCTCCAGCTGATAGTGATTCTCCTGCGCAACAGATAATAGAATGAGTTCTCGGATTCGTTATAGTGCAGTAGTAGTCAGAGTTCCTGGCTACAGATCCAGGGGTCCGGGTTCGATTCCCAGCGCTGTCAGATTTTTCTGAGAAGTAGTGGGTCTGGAACGGGGTCCACTCAGCCTCGTGAGGATAACTGAGGAGCTACTTGAAAGGAAAAGTAGCGGCTCCGGTCTAGAAAACCGAGATTAACGGCCGTGGGGATTCGTTGCGCTGACCACGCGAATCCTCTATCCGCTAAAGTCAGCACTAACTTCACCGACAAGAGGCGGTTGCTCGGTCGATATAGCTCGCTTGCGGACTAAAACCAGGGAGTTTGTTTTTTGTTTTGTGGTGTATCTGTTTATTGTAAACTATTATTCGTCATCTTTAGGATTGACGTGACATACCAGACATGAAGAAGGACGTAGCAGTTTTGTTTAATCCTTCGGCAGCTAATGCTACTTGTACCTAATACGATACAGAAAAAAAAAATCTAAAAATTTGTTCTTTTGAAAATCTCGTTAAATCACAGATTATAATTTAATTCTACATTTCTTTTCCGGAATTACACATGTGCCACAGTGAAAACCATGTTATTTAAAACCAAAAATGAAATTCAGTTCTAGAAACCGAGATTAACGGCCGCGGGGATCCGTTGCGCTGACCACGTGACACCCTCTATCCGCTAAAATTGGCACTTAGGCTGGTGCCACACGAGCACACAAAATGCGTCCATTGTAACGAACGTCGTGACGTCCGTTGTAGAAATAAACAAGATAAGCGAATGCTACGCTTTCTTCTGGCTCCATTGCAGACAAAAAACTACGCACCGCATTCTGCAACTGTGTGGTGTTCTCAACAACGTCCGTCATAAAGTACGTTCGTTACAACGGACCCATTTTGTGCGCTCGTGTGGCCCCAGCCTAACTTCGCCGACAAGCGTCGATCGCTCGATCGGTATAGTTCGCTTGCCGACTTAATGTCACGGTATTAGTTACCTGTATTTATCAATAACCTAACAACTGAACAATAAGTGTTGGTGTAACCACAGTTTTGTCATCTGTTTCAAACAAAAATCCGAATATACAGTAAATGAAAATAATCACAGTTAAACGCTTTACCATCCCATAAAGCGAAATTAGCATGCCCGTTATATTATAATCTATAGTTTTCTCTGTGTTTTAATTAAGTCAGTGTTTACTGAAAATGTCTGTTGATCTAGAACTGAACCCACGCCCTCCAAGAATACGAAGCAGCCTTAGTGTTCGATTAACTATGTTGTGACATGTGAAAGGGTCCGAAAGGGTTGAAGAGAGAGCTGATACCCACTGTTCTCGAGGCTGTAGTAGGCAGGCTGATGATCAGAGTTGCTGATAAGGAAATCCGATCAAACCCTAACGCACATCACATTTAATCAGAGCTCGCGACTTCTCTGTCTCAAAGGAGAGGTTATGTGGGTGTCAACAGTTGACATTTCCTGTTCGTAATCCTGTATTTTCCTTCGATGTTGGCAGCAGTCAGCGTGTTCATTTATAGGTTCAGTTAATGGTTATCTGACAATTTATATACTTAGCACTCCTGTAGTATGGAACAGTTCGTTCGTGCTGTCAAGACGGTCAAGACCCATTCACTTTCTCTCGCTTTGCGTCCTTAGGGGGGATTTCGACCTTTAACGTACAGCGCAGGCGCAGGAAGAATATTTGGTGAGCTACATACGGCTCCTCTCTTTCTCTCTCTCTCTCTCTCTGTCTATGGCTTTACAGCCCTTTGGACCTTGGCCGCTTTTTCAGTTTCTTAATCCTATACACAGTCGGTAAGACTCCTTGGACGGGGGATCAGCCCGTCGCAAGGCTTCTACCTACACGCAGAACAACACAAACACAGAATAAATGCAGACGTACATGCCTCGAGTGGGATTCGAACCAGTGATCCCAGTGTTTGAGCGAGCGAATACAGTTAATGCTAAATTCTTTTAACCTCAGGGCGACATGCAGACGGAAACTTCATGTATATTAACCACGCTAGCCCCAGGTTCCGGGTTCTAATCCTGATAGTTTTATTTTAGGTAATGGGAACCGAATAGGTTGGTCTAGCGGTAATGCTCAACATTTGTATTCATGAGGTGCTGGGTTCAAATCTCGGCCCGGGGAGTCGGTTATCCTGACTGAAGTGTTTTTTATTTTTGTTGAAGTTTTCCTCAGGCAAATTCGGGCTTGCTGCTGCAAGCCACGGCCGTTTTCCTTCCAAATATTTTCCAATCCGTCGTTCATCTCTCATCCCACTTTTGGACTTCATAATTCGCGTTTCTGAAAGCATCGTAAAATAACCCACTAAGGAAAAGGTAGGGGCAACGGGACGCTGATGACAGCCGCAATGAGGACTTTTCAGTGCTGAAACTGTCTAGCGTCGGAAGGTAAATGATAAGATATAGATGGATCGTGATGAATTGGAAGAGATTTGGAAGGAAGCAGTCGTAGCGCAATTAAGATATTACCCCAGAATTTTACTGAAAGAACTAAGAAAAACCACGAAAACTCAGAGTCAAAATATCTAGTGTCCTGCCGATATTCGAACCGAGCACCTACCAAACAACTCCAAAGCTTTACCTCTAAATCAACTTGTTAGATAATGAGAATTCTTGAGCTGGCCGGAGTTAGAAGCGATAGCTCGAAAGTTTAAGATATGATATTTCGCAGAAATGTAGTTGCTATAAAGAAAATGTCATAGTTAGCCAACCCATACGAGTAAGCTGTAGAAAGAGTTTAACCTTTGTTTCCTTGGCTGGGTGATTTTGCCATGGGAAATGTTTAGAGGAACTGAGACTACGAGACAACGGAAAGAAGTCCCATTGATGGTGGGGATAACAGCGCTTGAGGCTTCCCCCTTTCTTCCTACACTTGTATTCCCACCAACCTCTTCCGCCCATTGTCAGCTGGTTCAGTGTCTTTTTACTACTGAGCATCATCACGTCACTGAAGCGTTTATGTGAGAACGGATTGGCTAGAAGTTTTGGAGGGGATAAAAGTGGAATGCTCTGCAAATGGAAGCGTATTGGCTCGAGGGATATGCGGAGGTGGTCGATTCATAGGATTTCTTTCCGTGGGCTCATATTAGGGAGTGTAGGAAGATGTGATAGTCTACTGCACGGTTTTCAACCTTTGTAACCATGCGACCCAAACTATATATACAAATGTATTTGCTGCTTTCATATTTACATGCATAAAGTTCCCGCAAGCCTACGCCGTCAGGGTTTTAGTACACGTAGCAGGTAAAATCCCAGCGTTAATTCATTAAGCACCACAAAATGACGACGTAAATAAAATGGAGGTAATGATTCACGTATTTCTTAACCATGGTATTAGATGGGTGAGTGATCAGTTTCACGCCCTGAACGCTTACTTCCGGAGGAAAGAGGCCGCACCATAGCTCAAGCGGTTAGTCGCTGGCTTCCCACCGCGGCGGCCCGGGTTAGATCCCGGGTGTGGTCAACTGGAATTTGTGGTGGATAAAGTGGCGCTGAGGCAGTTTCCCCTACCAATCTTCATTCCACCAATTGCTCCACAATCACCCTCACCTATCATCTGGGGCTGGTACAATAGACCAGAAGTGGCCGCAGTACAAGGAACTTAGTCCCACCCCACCAGCAATAAAAAAATAATAATTCCGGATGAAGAATCCCCCGTACCGACTGGACAGGAGGCCTTGGTAGGCCCAAGAGTCGGTCACAGTGCTGTGGAGAAGGTACTAATCTCTCGCCCTGACCGTTAATCGAACTTCGATTCTTTGTCTCTGCAGTCTACGCCGTCGATATATCGACTGAGCAATCCGGGGAATACTTTCATCGAAGCAGCTGCTCAGGTCTTCACTCTGAACAGAAGTGATTTCTCAGATAAATAGTTTTACAAAATTGCATTGTACCAATTTGCTTTCACTCCGGGACTTGCGCTTGGAAATCTTGCAACCAACGGCTTGAAACGCGGTAATCGGTTTCCGCGTTGTATTGTGATCTCAACTCAGCTTTACCGAACAAATTAACAGTGGTAGCCTGTGAGGATTTTATTCGGAAAATGCCTTGTTCACATTTGTGCTGGGTAGGAGAAAGACGTAGTTAATACCAGAGCCGAACACAGTGGCCGCGCGGTCTAAGGCATAAACTGTCTTCGCTCGCTGAAACGCTGGGATCGTGAGATCGAATCTGACTCAAAGCATTGATATTTTTGTGCGTTTCTGTGTTTGTCTTGTACTGTGTGTAGGTAAGGACCTTGCGAGGGGCTGATTCCCCGTCCAAGGAGTCTTACCGATGACTGTGTGTAGGATTAAGAAACTGAAAAAGCGGCCAAAGTCCAAGAAAGGTCTGTAGAGGCATAGGTAGGTAGGTAGGTACTAACACCGCTCTTTTCCAACCCGCCTTTGCTTGTATTAGCGCAGTCGGAATGGTGCTATCCCTGCTACACCTGTTTCTACCTTAGGACAGTGTATGATGGCTACTGGAAGTTGTCCTCACAGATCAAACTAAGGAAGATCGGTATAGGTACGGGAAACTAGCTGGGTCGGTTTGCATGAGTCTCAGGGTAGCGATGCCGAAGAAAGCGTTTTTCTGAGAGTTGAGCCAATTGACGTTTATTCACCTGCTAATTCACCACACTGTTAAATTAATGTATTCTTAGCTTTAAGTTACAGCGTTACGATCGGCAAGCTACGTCTCGGAGCGTGCAAGGGTCACGTCCGTTCAGTTCGGAATATTGTGAAAGTCTCTCCTTTTGTGGAATGGCTTGCACCCCCACGCCGGGAATTCGAAAGATGGTGTTGACATATACATTTCATCCCATCTTCCGTGGGAAGCTTGAACGAGGCAACCCAATCATACTGGCCCTCATTCACAGGCAGTTGTAACAAGCTCTGACCTGTCCTTTTAGGCGCGTCCGGTTCCCTGTACCCGAGCTAAATTTATGACTGATCGTAAATGTCATAACTCCGGACTTCTTGTTTCTGCCAGAATCTAGAAATTTTCAACGTAAACACCGTATTGCACGTCCCAGACGGTGAAATACGGTATTATAGATCACGATACATTTCCAGTAATATCGAAACATAAGACTTTTGAAATTAAATTACCGAGAATTAATTAGAAATAAATTTCGTGGTCATCTATAATCTTCCAAATAAATAAGGGCTCAGAATGATCAGCGTCAGTACGTAGGTACGTAGAATAAGATCCTCAGACTTGATGTTCTGCTTCGACGGTATCCGAGTAGGGAGTTGCGGTCTCTAGGCTGTAGCACCAAGGATTGTGTCGGCCTTCTGCCCTTCTGTATGGTTTTGTTGAAATTGCCATCGGTATAGCATTCAAGATCATCAGTATATCAGGGTGGAATTTCTCCAGGATATTATAACATATTAGACTTATGTTGTTTGTAGCATATTTACCCGTTACCAAGTTTTATGTAATTTTCTGTGTGCCTATCGGTACAGATGTTGTACTCGAGGTGTGGTCGTATAAACCTGAAAGGATTCAACTTAGAAAAGAACTAATCACAAATGAATGGATAATATTAAAATGGATGTTAAGTAAATATAGATTGTGGAAGAGTACGTACTGGATTAATCTGGTGTGAGATAGGGACCAGTGACTCGCTGTTGTGAACGCAGTAATGAACCTTCGGGTCCGTAAGAGACAAGGAATTTCTTGAATAGGTAAATGGTGTGTAACTCTTCAAGAAGGTCAGCCAGTCTGTTAGTTACATAGTTCTAAGATTTGCCAATTCCCATACTGAAACGGCGCGTGGCAGCATAGCTGCTTGAGACACCATGCTACCAGCCGGAAGGTCGTGGGTTCAGTTCACAATTAGGTCACTGGATTATTCAATTGACCTAATCCTTTCAGCCGCACTATGACCCTGGAGTCAACTCAACCTCTGACAGAAATGAGTACCAGGAATTTTCCTGGGGGGAGTAAAGAGGCGGCCGGCGATCAAGGGTGGGAACCACACCGCCATCTGTGAGGTGATTGTCTAGAAAATGTGGGAGCCTCGATGTCTCACAAATCTGTGGGCCTCCTCGGCCTATTACAGGGATAGTTTTACCTTTTCTACCATACTGAAAGACCAGATATTTCACATCGTCTGGCTTATGTGATCCTTTCTAACGTTTCAGCTTCCGCCAGCAAAACTGCCATTATCTTTACTAGCGTCACCAGCATGTGAAGATGTAATTTCTTTAGGAGTCCGTATGGTGTTACACTGTTTAGGCATTTGTTCATTATGCTTGCAGATGATGCCTACATGAAACTGGCCATCGAGACGATGGAAGAATTGGACTGGTGCTTGGATCAACTCGAGACCATCCAGACCCATCGATCCGTGTCTGATATGGCGTCCCTGAAGGTAGGAATAACATGAATATCATCACAACGCCCTAATATGTATAGGGCGTCTGTTAGAGCCGGAAATCATGCACCTAGGATGCACGAAGGCTTGTGGTCAGTAAGACATCGACTCTTTCTATACATTTTAGATGGCTAGTACGAGGGGTGATGATAAAGCATTCCCTTACACAGACAGCAGGCAGTAGTGCGCACAACAGATGACACGATAAAACAGACGAACTGTACAGTACTTTCTCTACCCGTATTTAATTTCATACGGTTCTATTCATATATAAGCTTGAAGTCCTTACATTTTATTTAGATATTTGTGCTTAACCACTTATAAATCTGGTACTGTAAATTCTTGACGTCTGCAAGGGCTCCGAAGAAGAAATTGAGTAATAATTTCTAAAAGGAAGATAATGCAAAGATGACATAATACAAAAAAATAAATTCTTGTCGTTTTATTGGATTATAATAGATTAGATTAGATGAGATTTAGATTACATTAGATTAGATTAAATGGGTGGCCGTGTAACGTCTCTTGCTTAGCGCCCATCTTCGACCTGTTCTGCAGTTGTTTTCTTTGTAAATTAAGGAAAACTTTTAAGTGATCATTGCTGTTCGCCAGTTCATTCATATAGGACTTTTGCGCAAGGACATGCGGCTTCTAGTAAACTTAAAAAGGTGTCACTCTGGCGAGAGACGACCAATACATTCACCTGTGGACACTTGCCACGTGGCGAACTGAATGTTAATCGCAGTGCGCTTGCGCAGCCCCATTTCACCCTCACCTGCGAGAATTCGATAACGTTTTTCATGTTTCCAGTTGTGGTGAATTAACTATTATTCTGAATGCAATTTAAACGGGATTATTGTGTCTGTATTAATCATATTTCGAGACATATTTATTGACTGATAAAGGTAATCGTCATGCCGATTATAAAATTACACATTATTTTCTCGATTATCCGAACTAGTCAAAGCAATGATATGTTCGAACTGCTAGATCTCAGATAAAAGATAAAAATTTTGAGTAAATATTGTGAAGTGCGGCCTGAATGCTGCAACCTGCCCATCTGCTGGGCCTGACTTCGCGGTGCACGTTCCCGTGGTAACACGAAGACTTCGTCACTCTGGGTTTTGATGGAACAGTCATTTGTTGAGCAACGGCTAGGTTAATGTTTGTTCTTACAGCAACGGAGAGGTCATTTTTGTGACAACGGAGAAATTAACTGTTCGACTCGGTGTCCCCTATTCGGTACGCCGAACAGATATAAAACAGAATACGAGAGGGTTCCAGAATACCAGATGTGCAAAATCCAGACAAGCGTGAGGGATTTGTTATGACGAAGGGGTTAAATTTGTGAACTGTTATAGCTGAGTGTGATTGTAATAGCAATGTCAAATAAACCATCAAATCTAGAATCTCAATTATTAGTCACGTTACCCCGGATACACGTGTCAATAAGTTTGTTGTTTTTCAGAGATTTGACAAGGGCAGTCATGAGCAAGGGGACACAGGCTTCGGAACCCGTTATCGCATCTTTCTAAAATACCGTGTCCCAAATTTTCGAGGATCACAGATTTTTGTCATATGCTGCAGCACAAAATTTTAATTGAAGTTCACTGTGAATTATTATGACTTCTATTCCACGTCAGAATCTCGTAATTACATTAATATTTATTATATCGCAAATGCGCATGTTCAGCTATGCTAATGGGGCACGCAGTAGCGCAGTTTGTTGAGGCACTATGGTACAAGCCAGAAGGTCGCGGGTTCAAGTCCCGATGAGGTCATTGCATTTTTCTCAATCGACCTAAACCTTCCAGCCGCACTATGACCCTGGGGTCGACTCAGCCTCTAACAGAAATGAGTACCAGGAATTAATTAAATAATTTTCCTGGGGAGTAAAACGCGGCCGGCGCGTAAGGCTGACAACCTTACCGCTATCTTTGAGCCGATTGTCTAGATAATGTGGGACTCTCAACGTCTCACAACCCTATGACCCTTCACGGCCTGGTACAGGGATAGCTTTACTTTTTTAGATATAATAATTATTATATTTATATTCTGCAATGTGATACATGTTAGAGACCAACCTGGAACACTCCCTACTAATTTATTTAGCCGTAAATCAGAAAACGTTGAGAACCGTTGAATTAATCATGTCTTGATGTAGAAACACCTTCCAATGCTAATGTTCTTTCTCTTGCACATACGTTTCTTTTCTAAATATTTATTTTTGTATGACTTTATTAGGAAAATTTTAATTAACTTTTGAACAGCAGTAGATGTAGTTTCTCAATGTGATCGTTATTGTGAAAAGTTTTATAAAACAGTCTCCCTAATATGCTGGACATAGAAATTATTTTCTAAATTTATGCATTTGTTTACACTGTACTGAAATGAAAAACGCCTTTCATCAGATCAGACTAGAACAGAGACTTAGTGAGTGCATTAATTTCACCCGACTGAAGGCGTCCCGTAGTCTATTTCAGAACTGCATAGATAAATTTGGAATAGATACCCATCCTCTACAATTCTGCTCAACTTACACAGAGCGGTCGGCAGTCCGCCTTGCATTCTCTTTGTCTGGTATACCGCACGTGATGATATAGCCAATGGTTGCTATGCCTACGACCTCCTTTAATATTCGGAAATACACGTTTTGCCCACACAGTGCATTTATGGGTTCCGAGGTTTTACTTCCCTGTTTCGTTTGTTAGGCATGATAGTACTGTTAATTCTATCAGTTAATTGATTTAGGCGTTTGACGATATAAAAGAGGCCAATTACATGCAACTAAAAAACAACAAGACACAAGTAACACAAACAGTAAAAGCTGAAATATAAGGCTGTCCCTGTGACAGTATGTGAAGGCCCATAGGGCTGTGAAACGTCGAGGCTCCCACATTTTCTGTAGACAGTCGGCTCACAGACGACGGTGAGGTTGTCAGCCTCAGTATTACCGTAATACAATCCTGATAAGAGTCAAGTGGGCTACCGAAGCCGGCAAATAAGTACAAAGAAAGAAAAGGGGACGGTTAGTATTCATGGCTTAAATCGAACAATAAGTGCACAATTAACTCCATGTAGATGAGCCATTCTTGAGAGGCCGCCAGTTGTGTAGCTACTGAAGAATTTTCTCAACGTTATGGTACCCGAAGGTTCATTACCGTGTTCACAAGAGCCTTCCGAGGCCTTTTGTGACGTTTCGTAACGAACTTATTCATGTTGCGGTGAGGAGTGCATATAAATTATATTTTATCTCATGTTATGTGAGTGAGGTTGTCCTCTGCCTCTAATGATGTGTGACGGACGAACCTTTCTTGTTGTTATGGAAACAGCCAACTTGCATAAGCCCTTCCATTTTTGTCCCATTTATACTGAAAATGGTGGGTGAGATTCCATCTATTTGAATAGGGCTCTTTCCACGCCATCAAATTATCCTCACTAAGCCGCTTATGTTCCCTCTGAACTGTACCACTCCGCTCGCGTGTATTTTGGTCCTGTATAGTTGGCTGTAATCTTCTGGTGCTTCACGCAACACAGCACTCATGATAGTATAATAAAATGTAGCGTAGACACTGTTACGACATATACCCGTGTAGCGTATTTCTCGTTTCGTTTTTAATTTGTAGAAGAGCTCACAGGAACTATATTCTCTTTCTGATGTTAAGTTGCTTGGGTTAATGTGTTCACAGTTCACTCAACTGAACTGGTTATATGCTACTGATAGCTGAACTGGTTATATGCTACTGATAATAGACTAAATTTACAGACAGATATAGTCCATCTACTATAGAAATGAGGGTGCGTCATTAACAGTGACATAGACAGTTACGCCATCAACGGGAAGTTACTTTCTATGTTCATACGCTTGTGCGAGATTCAGACGTACTTATATAGGGCTTTTTCTTCCGTAAGGTTGCCTACACAAACTGTGACGTACCGTGGGTTCATAGAGTAGATGGACTATACCGATATTTGTTTTTGATATTTTGATATTATTTAGCGGTGTTGAGGAGAATATTTGGACCGAAGAGAGATGAAGTGACAGGAGGTTAGAGAAAACTGCACAGTGAGGAGCTTCATAACTTGTACTCTTCTCCAAGTATAATTAGAATGATCAAGTCAAGGAGGTTGAGGTGGGCATGGCATGTGGCACGAATGGGGGAGACGAGGAACGCGTATAGGATATTGGTGGGAAAGCCAGAAGGAAAGAGACCACTGGGAAGACCAAGGCGTAGGTGGGTAGACAATATTAAAATGGATCTTAGAGAGATAGGATGGGATAGTATGGATTGAATTGATCTGGCTCAGGATAGGGACCAGTGGAGGGTTCTTGTGAACACGGTTATGAACCTTCGGGTTCCAAAAAATACTGGAAGTTCTTGAGTAGCTGCATAGTTGGGGGCTTCTCAAGAAGGGCTCAACTCCATGAGTAAGTAAGTAAGAAGGATATTATTTAACAAATCGTCCTGTGATTATTTACAAATAAATTAATATTACGAATGCTATTCTGATTAGTAGACGTGCAGCCCTGTAGCACCATCTGTCTTAATTGCGTATGAACTTTCAGATTTTGATTTTCTGCATTATGATACCGTGTGGTCTGGTAGCATTTCACTAACATTTGGAGTAACCTTCTGTCATCCACTTTTACTGTGGGGCTTTTGCGACGCGCTCGGTATGGCAGAATATATATATATATATATATAGCGTCGAATTGTGGGATAATTGATGAACAGTTAACTGAAAAGGATGTAGAAGGAAACGGCTGTGACCTAATTGAGATACTATACCGAAATTTTCTTGGAGGGACTCAGGAATACCGTGAAAAATATCAGGATAGTGGCGATCACCTCCCGAATACGAGTGTACAACGTTTCTGCTACTGCATTCTGCTGGGTGTTTCTCAATTTTACCCTGAAGATGGAAGTAATAGTTTCGTCCGAAACGTTGATAAGACCCATTAGAATAAGCGGTATCATACCCGGAAAACAGTCAAAATG